TCGCCTGGAAAGGCGTCCCGTGGTATACGCCTGTTGAACAAGTTAGCATAGACTCATACCCACGGATGTCCTCTTTCATAACCTGAAAACCGCAGCTCTCTAGCCCATTCTATTCTCGACTTATTCAAACAACAATGAACTGCCTTGTATTGAAATGCATAGTAGTATGATCTATTTTAACTTTCTATAAATAAGTAAAGTCATTTATTGTCCTCGTTTTACAAACATGTCATACTTCAATCACTATTTTTTTATTTCTGTTAATCAATGTACTAAAGCATCATTTTTTTTCTTTCATTCTGCTTAGTCAAACGTACCTTTTGTAACTATTTTCAAGAATGAGAGAATCAGAGTAAATGTGCCAACGTCTAGGACAGATATTTTTTCTTCTTTTCCTCCTTTCTCTAGATCAGTTGTGCACGATAAAATACTCCAGCTTTTGTTATGTTAGATTAGTTCATTGTTACGAGTAACACATACTCCTATTGCTTGTATACATAGTTACATGTCATAACAAGGTAATGGTATGTCTGAGTTTCCAAATCAGATGTTATACTGTAGATTATTATCTGTTTCCATTATTCATGAGACTAAAATATTTAAAAAAATGCTATAAGTGGTATTAAACTCATGGTCTCTCGAATCTCCTAAATGATCTTATTAAAAGTTTAAAATAGTTATCGGATGTAAGCATATTTCAAAATATCAGGTGTTGATTGTGATTGTCTGAAATTTTCAGACATTTATTGTATTCCCTCAGACTCAACTGAATTATCCTCTCTCAAATGTTCAAAATAACGTCGTTCTAAAGGCTTACTCAGCATGAAGGTCTGTTTTCAAGTGAACAAGATTAGCGATTTTCGCATAACACATAATAGTTGAAGAGGTTTTTAGAATGTGAAGTATAGCCGTTGTAAGAAATTACGGTTAATAAAGTCAGATGATGACCACAATAAGACATGTTTGAGAGCTATTTATAGTCGTAAACGTCATTTCATTGTTGTCTTTCAATACAAAGGATCATGACTGTTCCATCGAATTATCGCCGGAATACAAATTATATTGCTTTTTCTCTCTGTGTTCCTCTTTTTATCTTTTGCCGTTCTTTTGTATCAGTGTACTCTTCATCAAAGGCAAACATTCTTCTCTTTCCAGAAGATGAAAATAAAAAAATTGTAATGATATACTAGTCATAGATTCATTTTCTGAATATACAATTACTATAGACACCATATCTATAGAAAAGATTTTATACTAAACGACTGTGACAGTATGAATTAAACAACTTGATCATGTTCTGCTTTGAATAGCATGAATGCTTAATTGAGTTTTAGAATGAATATCAATCGATTACCATAGAATATAAAACTATTAGACTTACGTGATTTTTTTCTTGTAGATCAGTGTCATGTGTTTCTAGTAGAAGAGTACTCTTGATTTGTGTTGCTATTATTGTGTTATTAGAAATGGCTCATCCAACAGACCAAGTTAGTGTTAATGTTATGCGTAAATCGGATGGTAAAAAGTTAGAGTTTATTTTACCAGAAACGACAACAATTCGTGAATTAAAAAATGATTTAAAACATCGTTTAACGCCTCAATTTGTACCAGGTTGCCGTTTAATATTTCGTGATGAAGTGCTGAAAGGGAAACATACATTAAAGCATTATGGTATCAAAGTGGGTGTTGATGACCAAGATATACTTATGGATGATTCAAGAGAATGGCGATCATCCTCATCAAGTGATTCAGAAGTTGAAAAACATTGAACTCGAATTAGAAAGACGCTCTTATAATTGTTTATTACAATTGTGGCTTTTATTTCTGTGCAGTTCGATGCTTTAGTTCGATATTGTTTTAATTGCTTTTTCTATTCGTTTATTTCTCTATGTCCAGCGGAGGCGGGGTCTAAGTACGCACAGATTTTGAAGAACTAAAATTCTTCTATGTGACGCGCACGCAAAATTGATCTATGACAATATGCTGTATATTAGCTCTTTTGTATAGTGATCTCCAACAGACTGTTTCATGTTTGTCTTGTTCTTATTTCCAAGTTTTTTGTTCATTTTTCTGCAATTCTAAGTTTACAGAAGAAATTCGAAGTTGAAAAGTGAGATCGATCGAGTGGAACTCGAAGAAGCTTATTGAATCGGGGTG